TGTAATGAGCAAACCATTCGAAGCGGAGCTACTTAGGTACGTATACGTTTTCGCCATTGTTTCCTCGCTTAGCAAGCTCATAAAGGCTTTGAGCTTTTCTCATTTTTGTAAAAATTGGGCCGCTCTGTACTGAATATCTTTCTAGTCGTTGAGGCATTTGTATATAGGCTATCACTCCAACGTTTGGAACTGAGGTTTGTGGGTCCATTCGCTGCTTTCCATTTAGGGCTCAACTGCCAAGTTCTCAAGTTCCCCCCAAGAATGAATATCTTTTGGTAAACACCGGCTTATTTTTGTCTGGACTCACTGAACGGTCATGTAATTTCGCACAATTACGACGAACAGTCATGAACTTATCGGGAGATGGTGATTGCTGCCGATACCACACTCGCTAAAGGGCTATCGAATATTGTGCTATTTTCGCCGCTCCTGACAGCACCTCGAATCCACCCCTGAAATCCTAGTGACTCCTGTCTGGATTATGTTAACCAGATGATAATCCTTACCCTGTGCTTCCTGCTAGTTGCACTGCACCTACAGCAACCCTCTTAAAAAGGCCATCTGGGGGTACTAATGGCAAGCAGTCCCCACCGGTTTTCTGTAGGTTTTCCTATCCCTAACTAGACCACCTCCACTTTCAATAATGACGAGAATCACATGAACTCCAGCTGAGGAAGAAAGATCTTACAGCCCTCAGTTTGAAGCTGCCGTCTTTGTTTTGCGTTGAATGGCCAAGGCTCATTACCAGCGAAATTTCGGATAGAAAGCGTTTAGGATGGAAAACAGCGCTTTCTTTGGTAGACTTTTTTGGGTATGTATAGTACCTATCCTTAGCTGATAGGTTTTAATAGCTGCACTGTGGTCAAAACCAGATACACCCGATTGAATACTACCTAATAGGTTATTTAGAGATGGCACTTCTGGAGGTGCACAACTTTTGTGCAAGTGTTCCATTTCCTGACTCATCGATGTTATGTTCTATATATCTTCCGAAAAGAATTCACCCCGGATATCCACGTGAGGACCCCCTTTTGGAGTGGGTAATCACCGTAGATGAGATCAAATACCGTATTTGCTGACCTAGCCGACATCATCCTCACTGGCAGTAGTGTTGGTGTTGAACACTAGCGCTTCTCTGCCCCCAAAACCACAATCTATTAAAGAAAGCCTAATTATAAGCATTATCATTAGCTTAGGGGCAAACGCTTTCGAACAGCAAACTGTATTTAGGACCAAAACGACGTCGAACTGGATGTCTGCGGGCAATAATCAGTGATCAACGTGTGGGATTTTCCCGAAACCTTTTGGCACTGACCGTTTGACACAGTGATACACCATCTGACGTACATCTTGCTGAATCTCTGTTAGCTGATCCACGTGTGGATGCCCTTAAAGCGCTGGTGTTTCGGTTTTCGATTTTTTATGTGATGGATTGTTGAACATTCTCTCGAGATGGAGGCCAAGCTTTTCTGCATATCTCGTGAGCCATCATCGTCTGTATACTGTATCTTCTACACAGTTCCTCTGCCAGACGCCTTAGTTAATGTAACCGGTGTTTTTTGTTTCACCCAGCCTTGCGGCCGCATTGACTGCGGCCAATTGTGCTCCCTCAGTTCGCTCAACCGTTTTCGCTCATGTGGAAGGTGTGCTTCAGTGGAAACGTAAATCACTCACTCGACGGTTGAAAAAGCTCAACGAGGTGAATGAGGATCAGAAGATGAATCCATCACTGGATGCTCTGGGTGATGGTGAGTGTTTATTCGGGACTAGAGAGACAGGCGTCTATACGCATATCACTTCCTCTATCACATCTGATGTTTAGCTGAACTTGACCGTACCATTGGACGCGAAACACTATCTTATTCAGAGGTCTGACAACAGCACTCTAACGGTAGCAGATATTTTATCCATTTTGCATGGTCTCTGCTCTTGGAGTTACATCATTCTAGGTACTCAAATCCACATGTGTTGACACGCATAAAAATAGTTGCGACCACTCATCCACAGAACTATTTAGCGTTTTTCATTCTTCCACTTATGTCATAGGTCGTTTCGCGTTAAGAGGTAACCGTAGATTTAAAAAAAGATTACCGGAATACGCTCCTATTCCGGGCAAAGGAATCCCTACCTAGAGATCTCACCTTATCTTTGTGGTTGGGTTCCAGTCGTACAATAACATTGCGAGCTAAACTGTCTTGAAATCAGTTTCGTAAGGTCCATTAAGGGAACTACTCGCAAGGTTGCTGAAATCTCATCGACAACCCACGATCAGTTTTGCCCTTCTTGGGGCTTATCAGGTAGGCGTAGTCCCCGAGTCTCGGTCAACTTTACGTTTTACGTGAGCTCAAACCACACGAAGTTCGAGAGACGTGCGCTAGGTCTTCAAAACTCGGGTGCCGCCGAAGAAAACTTCATCCATCTGGGATATGCGGACATCGTCCTTCTCGTCTTCCAAAGAGGAAGAAGAAACAACAGTTTCTGAATGAATTTACCCAAGTTGACCGTTTGACATGAGCTTTGCACTCACAAAGTATAAGGTCATGCTTCTGAACATGGATTAGTTTAACACGACACTTACAATCCAGTGAAAGACACTTGAGGTTGTAAAACCATTTAATCTTGGAAGGTGTATACGTTCTGACTGTAGTGTGACAGAGAAGGTCAATGCACAAATCTCTCAGGCGTGAGTTTCGTTTGAGACACATTTAGCGGCAAAGCGGCGTGCTTATGAATCTCAAGGAACGTAGGTATCAGGTTTCGACACGGACTGTTTTACTGTGGATTTGGGACGTGGCTTATGCGAACAGCGGAACTGGAACTTATTCAGGTCTTCGATACCCGTTGTCTCCGAACCATAGCTTGTTCTCGTGAAATAAAATTCACGATTCGCTTTTCGCGTTTTTCTTCTTTTATGGACTGAAGGTATCTGGTAAGATACCAGAGATCATCCTTGTCAGCTTGGTGGAATCATTTTCATCTTTCTCAGTTTAACCCACTAAACTCGCATCACCATGTGTGTAAGGTTGAGAAGTGAAGGAACGCAGCCTTGTAATAGAACACCCATCCGGTAGAATGAAGCACAACATGCAAGTTAGTTTTTTGATAGCAAACTTACCAACGCATGACGCTGGTCTCTGATCGAGGAAAGCGAAACACTCGTTACCAGTCGCTTGCTTTATTTACCTTGTTTGGGCCAATTCATTTCGTGCACTCCTCGATTTGTTTGGTTCTCCCGTCAATCGGTTGCCAAAGGGTGTGCGGTATTCGTTCACGATACGACAACCTTCTTCTTCCAGATGTCTCTGTTCCCTTTTAAATGGTTAGTTATTTGTCCTTTTGACTTTTATCACGCTTCTAGGCAATCAAGATATGTGGATTTTGAAGTCAGGGTCAAACAGCCTCGCAAACAGGCGTGGGACCATCTTCTTTGAGCCCTAGCATGGCCGGAAGTGAGCCATTGGTTGACCAGCTTCATGTCATGACAGATGCAATACAACAGTTCACACAAATGTAGAATAGCTTGGTAGCCAGTTGGTTTAGAGGTCGGCCCATCCAGCGTGCTTCTCTCAAGGGTTCCCGGTTTCAGCACTGCTTTATCTGGGCAACAGTTTTCCCAAAGGTCGCCCAGCATGCAGTCATTGAACCGGCTCACTGGATTTGACAGGTCACTCAGTTGTACCGTGGGGATAATTTTGGTTAAAACGGGCACTCGATCGCACTGATCTGAGAGTAGCGGATTTCGATGACGATTTTCCTTTCAGATCGTGACGAGAGTTGACCATAGGGTATACGCCGGATTCGCGTGACCCATGTGTTCACCAAGCTTTTGTACTCGGGCATAATCCTCCGCTTCCCTTCGAGAAATCACCTTTTGAGGAATCTTATCTCATCACCCTCTTTTTCTGTCCTTCCAGCGATTGCACGTGCAATGCCACCGCTCTTGGAGAGTTACGTGCGTGACAAAGAACTTCACGCTGAACGTGTCAAAGTGTGGCAGGCCGAGTGAGTTGCCCATCCTAATTTATCATCGTTTTGTGCAGTACCTTTCCTATGAGATTGAGAATTCATCTTTAGGGTCATTTCAGCGCATAGTTGCCATACCTTTCGCAGAAAGCAGGATGCTGAGCAACTGGTCTTCTATTAAAGTACTTTCGGAAATACTGGTCTTGTGTATGTCCAGTGTGTGCAAGGACGGCATTTCGTAGTTTGTCACTCTGTTTCTTATGTTTCTGAATACTCAATATGGGAGTGTGACCATTAGCTCTGTCTTATTGATCTTCATAGTTACTGTTCTTGTGTCCAGGCTGAGTACAAGGAGTATGGTATTCGTACTCCACTTAGATGATCCAATTTTTCCACAGAATCTTCCATCGTGAGAGGGCCACCGGCGTTGGCGTGAATCCTGCCTGCGAATAGAACCCAAGCTTAAATTGTTTTCTAGAGCACGGTGGGAGAAGGATGAGATGAATTAGTACAGGCTTTGATACCCCTTAGATTCGTCGAGATGGCTCGGCGGTTAGAGCGCGAATTTGCTGACCGGATGGTCCGTGGTTCGAATCCGGTCTCTGCCTCTTGACTTTCCCTGTCTAGAATTGCGCAACCTGGCAGTAGCTCAGCCCCAGTGCTTCCTTTTGGTGGCACGGCAGTTAGGCACTGAAAGGGTGCTCCAGCTGAACGATATATATGTTCGTCATGAAGACGACTGCCTATCTTGCCATTATGTACAGCCTACCCATCCTTGATCTCCTACATCCCAACAGCTCTTAGTCAACTGTGCGTATTTTTTCACCTCCTGCATACGCAATATCACCTCATTTCCCAATGAATCTCTTTCGGGATCCTCAGATGGTGATGTATTTTTCGGTCATTCGTGGTCTGAAGCCCTGATCTGGAACGTCTGTGCACTGCGGTTACATTATTCCCACCTGCTCCCAAAAACTACAGCCTTTACGGTTGGATTGTGCATGGCTATGAAGGGGTCATTTTACTTCCAGTTTTCTGTCTTTTATGTTGCATATTCAAGATACAGTGTGGAACACAAAATAGGATGAACAATCTCTTTGACCAAATGTAACTTTATATGGCTAACGGGAGAATTCCACTTGGATTGATTTCAAATCAGTGTGTTGCAGGAGGACGGACTTTTACGTCAATAGAATCTGGAGAACTTGATTTTTAAGGCGAGATGCAAGAGGTTTCGAATCACTTCTTGGTGGACGGCTGTAAAATGGCTCCTTTGTAGTCGGTGAACCATCCCGAATATTTCTGCATCGGATGGGTAACCAAAGACCTCACTAGGCAATTTCCACCCGTCTGCTTTGTGAAGTTTGTGGGATACTTGAGACCGCCTGCTTCACACTGACTAAGCGATTTATTGAGCAGCCGAACTAAATAAGCTTCAAAACACCCCTGTCTTCACATCACTTGATGACACAACTAAGTGGCTCAAGACTCGTACTGCAGTGATTGAAAGAATAATTAAACACCGGAATTGTTTAAGCGATGCCTAGTGACGGGAGACTGAAAAAAGCAAACTTAGCCACTGCTGCTATTTGTTGCGTGGCTAGTGAACGATTCTGGCTGCGTTGGTTCAAATGGTACAAAGCACTTCCGGATGCGAATCCCTGACCGAGGAGCGCAAATCCTGACCATTTCCGCTCATCGGGCTTCTCACCGGCCTTGTTATCTCGATAGTTTTATCCCACAGATGACTGTGAACGCGGTGACAGTACTCATCTAGCGTACACGGCTTTGATCACCTTTCGGCAGTCAAAATGGAGTGCGTTTCATCTTTAGAACCGGATAGGCCGTTACTGCTACACATTCGTGTAAAATAGGGTGGGATGTTGGGTAGATGCGGCTTCCTTAAAAACAAAAGCTTCCATCCCGCGCTGCGTTGATGCCTCAATATTTACTCCTTTTGCACTATGTCTCGCTGTGTTCTTTCCGGTTCAGATGCAGCTGAAAACAACTTCCACGCCCCCTTCCCAGATGTAGATGTTTCAAAGCCACTTAGAAATTTCCGCCTGAATCTTATGGTGCCTCGATGTCGAGGAACCATAAGGTTTCTACTGACGCACTAAGTGTTTGTCAATTCATCTTTAAAGTGTTACCTTGACATCTGAGAATACCTTTTTTGACTATGAAAAGATATAGATAGAAGGTTACCCTTCTGTATTTGTTTTGTGTGCCACGTGACAAAGAGGACTGTCGCTGTATTCCATACCTTCATGGTTGTGAAGGTATGGAAGGTATGGCTACTCTTACATTCCTGTCCCCTTTGGTTTACAGAAATGCAGAACAAAACGATACAGCTCCAGCGACAGCTGATGGAGCTGCACCACCCAAGCGTAACCCCAAACCCGGACCCCCTAAAAAGCTGTTTCGCTGGAACGTGGAGTGTCGGTGAGTGCAAGTGTTTGCCGCCTTAGCGCGTCGTGTTGTATATTCTTATCTGTACGGTATAGAGCAGTCCGACCCCTAACTAAGTGCTGCCATATTCAAGCACCATTTATGAATAGAAAGATATTGTTTGTGAATTAAGTCCGCCCACTCCAGGTGCGGTTGTCTTTTTGACTTGTGCACCACTGTCTCTCCTTTAGAGCACGCCTCGCACCAACCATATATTATTGCGTTCTTTGTACTGAAGAAACACTGCGCCACTATTTCACCCCTTCTTGGAATCATCGGTAGGGCACATCTCACAGAACTCCTGGAGGTCATGCATGTAAGGCCAATAACATCCTGATGCAGAATTACCTCCGCCATGAGTCTACTGTTGCCTGACGGAGCAAATTGATTTATCCTCAGCTGTTAAAAGGGCCAAGAGGAAAACAAAACCGGGATTCACAAAAGTGAGAAAAAAACCTAAAATGAGCATCGGTTATAAGGTCATCTCATGATAGCTTTGGGTCAGTAGGGTTCCTCGATGATGAATCCCGCTAGTGTGAGGCGTCTTTTCTCCTCTCGCGAAGAGGAGTACCGTGTCGTTTCCTAAAAATTGGTAGCTGAATATAAATGACTCCGTTGTGACTCCTGTTCCCCGTCGTCATTCCGAGCTGTCTTCTAGATTCCTTTGTCACCTTGTCTCATCCCATTTTGGAACGCTCTTTAAGTTGACCGTCAGTTTGTCGGGGTGTGATGGCTCAAGTGCGTAGAGCGCGAATTTACTGACCGGAAGGTCCGTGGTTCGAACCCGACCTCCGCCTCTCGAATTCCTCTGTCTAGGCCTGGGCAACCTGGCAGTATTTCAGCTCTCGTGCTTCCTTCGGGTGGCATGGCAGTTAGGCACCGAAAGGGTGCTACAGCTGAACAATTATCTATTATTTATTATTCCAATTTGTCCATCCCAGTACATTTCTCTCTCCCTCTTCAGCCATTTGTTCGAGTCAGTCGTTACTTTGCGCTTGCAAAGCTACCACACGCTGAATTTGAAGGGACCTCGTGAAGAGTATTTGCGTAACCTTTTCCCCACTTTGATTCAATTATGGCCGGACGGTTGGATTACGAATGCGTAAGTATTCTTCGTACTGTCTTCATTTCATAACAACACAGTTGTGTTTCTGTTTTTTAAGCGGTTGAAAAAGGGAGTGGCTGTGTTTGTTCTGTGGCGTCGATCTAGCCGTAACTTGTTTACCGAAGTGCTTTCGCAACTTTAGTTTCGGAGTTAGTTTCGTCAGCTTCGTAACTTTGTGATTCTGTTTTCCGATTTCATTTTCACAAGTTACTTCTCACATTCCAAGTTAATTAGCTGCATTTTCACTGTCATTTGGATTACTGCTAATAAGCAACAGCTGAATGCAGCGGTTTGGGAATTCCGGGGTCATGCATGGTCATGCGTACTATACCGGTGTCATTCGTCATGCATCAGGTGTTTCTCTGTTTCCAAATAAAACTCATCTCCCGAAATCTAATGAGGAACTATGTCAAATACATTTGATTTTCTCATATCGGTAGTCAAATTCTGCAAACAGTGGATCCAACGATCTCGACAATCATTGCTTGTTGGTGAGGATATTGTATCCGACTGGTCTTTTTCAGCAATTCGAGGCGATAACTTGTCAGCATTCCGGGTTCGTTCAACCCGCCACTGGACGCCGACTGTGTAGCCGGTCAGTACACACGTTTAGGAACTAGAAGCCTATCTTTCTCCCGTGTGACTGACCAGTACATCAATTTTGACTGAGCAAAAGAGCCCACCTTTAATATGCCTAGATGATATTTTTCGCTCCCTGGTGACAGTCCCGCCAGCGGTCCTTATTTGGGACCTTGCTGCATTTTTGTTACTGCGGTATCTTGCGTCATTTCAGAACCTGATGAGTTCGTGAGAAATGTTACGTAATCGAAATCGTTCAGCTGTAACACTCCTTCGGTGCCTAGCTGCCATGCCACCCGAAGGCGATACGAGGGCTGATATACTCCCCAGTCGTTCAGTTCTAGACGGGAGAAATCGAAATGCAGTTGTCAGGTTCGAATCGCGGACCTTCCAGTCAGTAAATCCGCCCTCTAACCACTGACCGAGGTTTACACAGGCTACCGTTTTAGGCTCCAAACATCCGTATTTCCTTGTGTTATGGGTCGTTTCTGGACTCCGTTTCTCTCTCTGAATTGTCTTCTGTTCCTGTTTAACCACCTGACCGATGTGCCACTTCGCTGTTAGTCCAACTACCTCTGATATCCGTTTATTTATCATACTGAGTTCAGTTCCGGTAAGAACTACACACAACAGGTCTAGTCTGATTTTTCTTACATACCTCTCCTTCCAGGGCCCTCTGGAGAGCCGCGTTGCCTGTCTTCCAGAAATTCACTGCTACCCAGTAAGTACTATTGATAACCGTTGATAACTCGCCCCATCCGTGTAATGCGTGATGGACACTAATTATATCCGTTTACCTGTTTTCGCTGACGCTATCGCGCAAAAACAACTTCGCCTGGGGGGGTCGAAATGCTCCCGGGACGTTCGCTTACGGACACCGAGTATACGGACGATATTGCTCTCCTTGGTTCAGATCCCTAAAAAAATTCAATTCATTTTAAATAAACTAAGTAACTTTGTCGCATGGTTCGGCATGCGCTTCACATCTGCAAGGTGTAAAGTGTTGCCACAAGACTGAGTGGGATCAAACCCAAACCTCATGCTTGCAGGTGAACCAGTCGATGTGGTAAATAAATGTGTTTACCTGGGCAATTGTTTACGTTCCGTTGGACTGATTGAAAATGAGGTTATTTCTCGAATCAGAAGGACCAGGGCAGCTTTTGCCAACCTGCGACCCCTATGGCGCCGACGTGACGTGAGTTTCTTTGTGAAGGGCAGAGCTAACACTGTGGCGGTACGATCCACACTGGTTTATGGATCAAGGACGTTGGCTCTACGCACATAGGAAGAATATCAGTGTCTGACCAGCGGTACCTTCGAAGTGTTGTGACTTCAAGTATGGTGGGATCATCGGACTAGTAATGCTGATGTACCCCAGATGGTTTTGAGAAGAAGGATCTCTCCCGCGATAGATGACTTAACCGCGCTTCATAAGTTACGCCTGCTAAGACATGTGCTCCGCATATCAGAGGACTCTGTGTCGCAGAGAGCTGCTTTCGCCCAGCCCTGTACTGCGTGGAATCGACCGAGAGGTGGACAGTGGATCACTGTGAAACGAAGTATGAAAACACTAACCAGTAAACTTAGTCGGGTTGACAACTGCCGCCTCCCCGAATGAGGACCCCGGAACTCGACTCATCAATGGTTAGTGACATTGGCAGACATGGCCCAATCACGCAACCAGTGGCGCTATTTCATCAAAGCTATCGCCTTCAATGCGTAGCCACCCTATTCCCGAACTGACTGAACATGCCGTCATCTCACAGGCTTGACTGCCTCTCCTGCACTCTCCCACTTTCCGGTGATGGAAACTGAAGCAGCTGGAACCGATGCGCATATGGTTTATAGGTGACAAATTGGTTGGTTGATTAATGGAGTGTCGTCTTATACAAATAGTATTCCCGGCCCCCATCATATTACTTGACATTTAGACAATAATTTCGTTTTTGCTGAGCTAAGCGTTTTGGTGTGTGTTCATGTATTCAAGTACTTGACAGTGTAGCACTTTTAATTCACTACGTTCAGCTCAGCTCAGCAATATTAGATTGGCGGACGACTGTTTTCCTAATCCATTCACTTTTCCTATCCGGGAAACGTTGAGTATGAATCGGGATTAGCGTTTTATTAGATTAATACCCCTGATCGATGTTTCTTCTTGAATATTTCCTCAGCCCTTCACCGATTGTCAACAATTCCAATGGGAAAAATTCAACACCAACAACATCTGCACCACCGACGCCCAATGTGCCATCATTGAGTCCCGTACCTTCCATCAATGGATCGGTTAGAAACGGTCTCTCCATACCTAAGACAAAATCTCCGCAGTCTGTGAGCAATCCTTCCGGTGCCCAGCATACTTTCTCTCCAGTTTCCGTATCAATGTCGAACACCCGATCTCCAGTCACTTGTTCCCCTTGCACAACTGCTGTTCCCACAGTTGCACCTTCACGCGATCCCATCTTCCAACAACTTCAAGGCAAACAGACGCCGACAGTTTGTCTGACTGACGTTGCTCCCTCACTAAAATCTACTCAAACACAGGACGCTTTACGCACGATGCTCAATTCTAAAGTGGCACCGCACACCCCGACCCGCACGGACACCGACTCCACGCAGCACGTGCGACTAACCTCTCCACCTGCAATACAAAGCTCTGTTCACGTCAGCCTTACCCCTACTGTTATCAAAAACAAGCCGACACCGAATTTCGCGCACAACGTTCGTGGACCGCTGCTAGTTCAAAACATGGCCACGACATCTGGTCAGCGCACACCGACCGTCGCTGCATCCGTAGCCACTTCAGTCCACTTTCTTCATTCAGGTCAGGCGCAAGCTACCCCTTCCAGCCAGTTAGCGAAGAATGAGAGTGGCGCCACTCCGATTTCCACAGTATCTTTTCGGTTGCCCTCCATCAACTCGCTCTACGTCAATTCGAATGCGCCACAGCATTCTTTGGGAGTTGGCATGTCCAGTCCAACTTCGGTGGGATCTCAACTGTGAGTTTTTTCGCTCTACTTCCTTTTTCTCGCACCAATACTTCGGTGTTTAACAGGGCACTTTTCCCCCATGTCGCTCGACAGCTTGCTGTCTAGACGTTTCTTTTTTATCTGCCCAGTCCATATTTCACTGTAACGCCTATGTTGCGCTCCATTCATGAACATCGTGTCCGCTTTTCTCACTATAGCTATCACATCCTTTGGGTGCGTAGAGCTTTTGCTATTATGATTTTGCACGCGTTCTTCATCTAGTCCGCAAACATAAATTGGATCCCGCGGCTATTAACATCAAACGAATTGATCAGCGAAATCGTTAGACATAGTCAAGTAACAGTCCGTGATGCTCTTGCATCAAATCGTTAACTACCAGTCCTGATCCTCTTGACGGTCCTCTTCCACGCGTAGCTGTCACCTCCCTATTCTCTGTATTAGCAGCTAACGAAAGTAACAACCGGGACCAACGTTTACATGGTCTCTATCCGACATGATTCAAGCTTGTGGATAGGATCAAAAATGTTGTGGTTAGTTGGTTTGCCACTTGAAAGATTCGCGGTAATCACATGTGCCGCGGTGCGTTTTCAACGAGCATAGCTGCTCAGCGGATCAATGGTAGTGGACGACTGGTCAACGAACTGCAAATTAGAGAAGGAATGCCATAGGTGTGGTATGTCTGTCTGTCTGTCACCTTGAGCCGTTTTCCCGCCAGTTTTATTAACGATAAAAATTAGATTGAGGCGTGGCTCGCCTTCCATGATGGAGTCCTCGTGATCCCTCTCGGAGACATTGCACGAAATGGTAGATGACCGATGTCAGTTGTCAATTTCTTTCCAGATTGTCCGGCTGAACGCTCGGTGTAGGCACCCCAGAATGCTTGTGATAGGCCAGCACCAGATCTCCTCCCTCACCCAGGCTGTTCTCGGTTCATTCTAAGACCTTAAATATTATTATTAGACAAACTTTGTGGTCGTATGGCAGTGAAGCATCAAGGTAAACACCGATGTTGCTGTCTCTGATGATGGTGGCGATGCAGTTAAGCTTGGTCACAGGTGTTGACCTACTTTCTTTAATTTGGTGCACAGGTCTCCAGCGTATTCACAACAGCAACGACGATATACAGAACCAAGACCTCCTCCAAAACAGATTGTAAGAACGCCTCCCATGCAATTACCGACAACCGTACAAGGGGTATTGATCAACCCAACACCACAGCCTCCAAAACGCACTTTTGCGACACCCACAACTGGTGATGCTGTTGACACTAGTGGGAAACAGTCGACAACTTATCAACAACTGGTTAATCAGTCATCCACAGTGACCCTATCCAGCTCACAGATTGACCAATTGCAACAACGCGCACTTGTGTCCAGTACTCGATCCAGCCCTTCAGTAAACACACCAACTCTTCCTGTTGCCGGTACCATCCTGTTACCACGCCAACCCCCTCCGGCCCATCAGCAGACCGCGACCACCCAGGCCTACCATCAGCGTCTGAGCGTGCAGTTCGCGACATTCGCTCCAACCGCCCATACAGGCCTGTTCATCACTGACGTGAAGACGAACGATCAGCGACTGATGAATCCAAGTAAGAAGCAGTCTATTTACACACTTTATCTCTATCACTAATAGAATAAACCATTCCCTGGTCCACTCTTCCAAGTTTGTGAATGCAAACGGAGGATCTGTTAGTGCTATTGTCTTTTACTCGAAGTGATGTCAGAAGATGAATAACACTAACATGGTGGCTACCAAAGACACTAGTACAATTGGATAACACACAAAAAGGAAAGAGACTTATCGAGTTCTTCGTTTTATTACTTATAGTAGATGCAGCTGGGGTTTGTAGGACGCAGTTGAATTGAATGCGGGTCTTGACCGATCGTGTTGAAATCTGGCCTGTTTCTTGTCGTTTAATCCAAAACGATATCGAGCCCAGACTTTTCCTGCACAGTGAGTCATGCATAGGTTTGAACTGACTCTGGTTAAGGCGCTGTGTGAAGTGACGAGCGTCGGCATCCTGCTGTCGTTGGTCCGCATATATATAAGTTTACGTTGTGAGTGAGGATGCGCTTGCGCATTGTTTGTCTTAGGATAAGATTCCAATAATCTCGGTTTGTCGTGGGGCGAATGTTCATGACATAATCATAACAGGAATGAAACAGTGGGTGTGCATGCGTTAAACAACTTATGTGAGTGTTTGGAGGTAAACATTGATGAGGTAGTAACCGAACTGGGAAAGCGGTTGACGGGATGGTAACCAACAGATCAACTTTTCTTGTTCAAATACCTCCACCAGCCACTACTACTTCATACTCCCCCAATCCAAAAACTAAAGACAATTTGTTTAATGTCGACCGCAATAGAGGCTATCGATGTATCGTCTCTTGGGGAGCATTCTTCTTCTGAAGAATATGAGTGCGATACCTCACGTGTAGAGGTATTCGGAGGACCTGTTCACGGTAATTTTGCGGTGCAACTTGGCCACAACACTTTTGTTCGACGAGGGGACTCTCACAGGGTCTTAGAAGCTCTTTTGGGTTCGAACGTAGATGTTACCTTATTGGTTGTGGTCGTGTTTTTTTTACGGTGGCTATAGCTGTTTTCATCCAACTTCTTAAATCGAAAGGTCAATGCCGCATCTGCAAACAGCTTATCTGGTATTAAGGGTTCCATCTGTCATAGTTTTATCTACCGAAGGTGTGGAGATATTTGAAGCCATTTTTTCTTGTTGGTTTTGTTTATGCGTAAGCCTGACATGATTGCGGAATCGGGTTATGAAGTGGACGGTAAAAAGTGGTCGTTGGACACGGCAGTTTTGTTGGCATCAACTGCGCAATTCCACACCTCCATTCATGACTGTCTGCAACAACTGTATTCTCTTCAGGTAAAACATAAAGCTGACGGAAATTCGGGAACTGCGCCGACCTGATGAGCCGCAAGAGGGGCGAAACCGGTCGTAGGCTGTCGACGAATTTTCAGCAACCTTAGGAGTAGTGTATTAAGCCTATACATGTATTTTTTCATTGACTGGGTTAGCTATTACGCTTCCTATGACTCACAACCCTTTGTGTGTATACACGGACACTTACTCGTTTGAAGAAGAATCATCTTGTCGTCACACATAGATGCCTGTCGCCGTGGACGATGTTTCTAGATCTTACTCGCAGTTTGTGGAGAGGAAAAACTGCTCTAATCCGTAGCTCTTCAAGGGTTTTGTGACGGAACAGTTTTGTTCAACAAGTTCTGGTCCACTCTGAGTTATTTGCGTACGATATCCTATTGAATTTCACCCACGCCCCCAGTGCCTGTTTGTTGATATCTCTGTCGTATGTCTTTTTTCACTCTTATGTACTCTCTACTCCACACATTACCTATCTCATTTTCCATTTTTTCAGACAAGAAAGAATAACCATCACGCCGGTCCGTTCATTAGCCACACATGGTGTTGCATTTATACTGTTTCACGCGTTTTTTTATAAAGCCCTGTTCAGTCTGACCCCAAACTGTTCTACTGCCAATACGAGCAACCAATCAAAGACTTCCAATTTCAGGTCGTTCATCCGCTTCCCCTCAAAGTTTATATCCGGTAATCCGTTTGCACTTTTCTAATGGTGCACTGAGAGTGTGTGACTTCGTATAATGTAGTTGTATATTCTTTTTTTCCCCATGAATATGTGGTCAATCATATACTGTTTGCAAGACGACGTTTGTTATCCTTTTGTTTGGCTTCCCAGTCAGTATGGCGAGATTTCATGTCTTTTCCCGACATATGGCCTCTCGATCCATGTTCGTTTCCACCCTGAAATATGAACCAAACAGATATCGTCATCAAAAGTTACGAGTTTGATTGTTAGTATAAGATGACCGACCATCTGCGGCCTCTAATGTGATATCCTTAGGATTGGTAGATTCGATTTACGCTCCTGCACGGTCAGGATAGTCAATAGTTCTGTGAAATCGGGCGTCTGCTTAGGTTTAATAAGAAACTAAGCTGAAGTTCACACTGATCCTGCTTATTTGTTCATCTTCGATCAGAATTACCCCGTTTTCGTCTGGAAACAGAAAAGTTAGATTTAGATTGCTTGTGGGCTGATCTGGATCCCGATCTAGTCAAACGTAGACAACTCCACATTGTGCTGAAGCGAGGTCGGATCAAAATCTACGGCACTGTGGCGAGGATACGTTGTGAACTACCAGAAAGCAATTATCTAAGAGTCACCCAACGTGATTTAGCTCCGAAACCCATCACGAAGATACTAGACCTTACCATGATGTGACGATTCGCGCGCGTTCCTCTGCCCATTAAGCTATACTAGGATGTCTGTACGATACTCATGGTTTCACACCAATGGTCAGGGGCCTGACGAACACAGTCTGCTGGCCTTCCAAGTTGTGGATTGTAACACGCGAATGCACTTGCATTTCCCGGCGAACACCGCTGCCCTGCGGTCAGGACTTTCAGATAATGACTTTGATTGAAGACTCTAATCATCTTCCTATATAGGTATGGGTGCCCTGACAGTATCCCAGCCCACGTACGACCATGGACCGCACATATACAAGTAAACTCATGTCACGTCGACCATCGCGTTGTGCCATCAGCCGAGTCGCCTTGCTGCATTCAGCTAGGCAGGTCAGCGAAAACATACTACTACTGACGCCTCCCTTATTCTTTCACATACTTCCTCCTCCACACCCCATCACTAACGCGCTCCTTGTAGACCAGGCACTGATAATTCCGTCCGCCTGCTTTGGTTTTCCGTTTGCGCGTCCCCCGGTGCTGACAACTTCAGGCACCTCGAAACCACTCTTCAAGCCTGGACGCCTATTCCATTTGGCTGCCTTCAGTGTCTGCACTCTGAAGCAAGAAGGTCAACAAAATGCTCTTGCTCTCACATTTGACTCGCATGGAGGTGACTGTGCTGTATTTCAGTATCAATAATTCAAGACGCAAACGCAGGAGTTGAGCTAACCGCCGCACCACTCTCCAATCGCTTCGGGTTACGCACCTCTGGTGATCCAGAGGCCGCTGTAGCAGAATTACCGCAGTGAAACATCAGTGTCAACGCTGATGTTGCTGTCTTTGATGATGATGATGTGACAGACTATGCAGTGGTCGGTATCGTTCTAAGTCACCAGATGGAGGAGGTCTTTGGTTGACTGTAAATTCGTTGCTATCCGCCTGTGGGCGGTTCGTCCGGTAACACCTGTGAAGGAATCTCACAAGGGGGAAGTTGATTGCTCTCTGTTTGTCGTGTCTGCTTACACCACAACTGACTATAGCTCTGACACCATTAAAGTCAAGTTTTATGGCGCCCTGAACGCCCCGTTGCGGCGAGTAAAAGCTCAGATATCAGTGTGGTTGTCGAAGATCTAGGTAGACAAATGAGAAGGCTTAGCGCATCTGAGACTCAGTTGGTGGTGGACGTGCATTGGACTCGGTACGTATGGACACTGGTGAACGATTGCTTCAGCTGTGTGCTGACCTCAGGCTGTTACTGTGTAGTACTAACTTTCGAAATAGCCGAAGTCCTATGGCAACGTGGTGTCCTCCAAAGGCGCGCTGGTCACGAACTCAAATCGATCACACTACCACCAGGCACCAATGGTATGGATGAATAACTGATCGCCGGTGGTTTTGGAACACATTTATAGATTCCGGCCAGGCGTTCGTTCGGAGTCGCATCTTCCTACGTTTGCCAAGGCGCCGTAAGGTGCGCACAATAGCAACTGAGAGTCTCGTAGACTCGGAAGTTAGACGAATTTATTGGAATGGTCTTCTGGAATCTTCCGACTGCTTTACCATTTTATGGAAATCCATACTGAGACCTGGTCGCCGCCTCTTTGCACAGTGCTGGGAGCTTTTCTCGTACAACGGCCCTACCAGGCCCGCTCAAGCGTGGATATCAGACAGAACAGTGAATGTCGGAGAAATATATCCCGCGATCGTGAACGTAGTTTGGTGCGGCGGATTGTCAGATGATAGCTGAAAGTGAGCGTGCGCGCGAACGTGAAGCTCTGTGGACACCGAGGGCTAAGGAAATGGAAGAGGCATAGGTAGCCTTCAAGGATGAGGTCAGCGTGATCCCGTATGCGCCTAATCAGGGACACTGCAAGATATTGCTGCTGATAGATGTAAACGGCTTTTTGGTTGTCAGTTTCTGTCCAGATTACCTGAGTGAGTGTCTGGAGGTGTAGGCACCTAGAAATGATTGATGGGCTAGCGCTTAGTCGCTTCCTCATCCACGTTTGTTCTTTTGTCTTCACAACAAGACTCATATAAGTCGATTGTTTCGCAGTGAAGCATATTTTGAACAGGGATGTTATGCTGTGGTGCTGTGATTACGGTGCTCCGAAACTTCGCAATATAGAACGGTGTGAAGCACGATGGGTGGACAGAGAAACGCTATACACAAGTGACACTACAGTGAGTTCTTACACCCTGAAGAGAAACCCGTCAAATGGGCTGGAAAATGAATGAAATTGTTGACTCGCGGGTCAGAAAGCCAATCATGCCAACGTAGTCTATCGGTCCGACGGTTGTGAATCGACGCTGTCAAAGTCTAACCACCGGGTATTAGACAGCGTATGCCCTTCCGGTGGGAAGCACCCGTCGTAAGAACCCAACTGCTCGCAAACTAGGACATGTCACTTATTCACGAGTACTTCACGTATACATCTTAATAGCCTATAGAAATCCCTAAACTGTTGCTACTTCCCACAGGTTTGACACAGTGGATAGGATCGAAGCATGGTTCGTGTACACCTGGGAATTCATCCTCCAAATTTGTTTGTTGTCGGCGCATCACCAGCGCTTTAGCCAGCTGCATTCGTTAGCTTACAGGTTCTTATTTCGAGCTGTATAGCGGGATAGTTAACTAGAGCCCACAGTGACAGTTCTTTTTAGGCGTCATTTACCTGACTTGATGAAATCAATATACACAGAGGAGTGCCATTGTGTTTGAAGAATCGACAAAAGCGCGTGCTTGAAAAAAAGCAAGAAAGTATTAGTGTTGGCGTGCTAAATCCACACTTGCCACGTGTGCAGTACGATGTGGGCAATTCAGGTCTTGACAAACAACCGCTAGACTACACAAGCCACAATCTGACGCATGCAGATTGAAAAGCAGTTACTTATTTTTTCACCATACTTTCGCTAGACCCGCCCCTTAGTACGTAACTTCCTTCCCATCAACTGCGATTCGTCTTTAGACATCACGGTCAAGCTAAAGTCCAACGGAATGTGCTACCAAAACCCTTGGCAAAAGGATCGGTAGGGCTACTGCATGTTGTGCCCTCCTATATCAGCGTTAACATTTTACGGGCACGAGAATTACTTCTGGCTGAGAAGTAGAGGCGGAATAAAAATGTATGCAACAAAGCGTAGTTTGTGCATAATACGCGGTCGCAAACGATCTAAACGACCGGTGGTTTTGCGAATATTGCCCACTCATTTGAGAAACGGTTGTCGTGTGTTCGTTTTCTAACATCCGGGGTTTGGGGGTGGGAGGTGGCCCAAGTGGTTGTGCGCGAATTTACTGACCGGATGATCCGTGGTTCGAAGTCGACCTGTTCATCTCGGGTTCTTCTGTCAGGGCTTGGGTAAACTGGCAGTAAAGAACTGGGATCCGAACATCATACTGGTCAAACGGTAAAGCGGAATCACCAGCAAAATGGTGACGGTCGCGAAAGTTTTGTCAGAAAGACACCTATTTTGCTATGTCTGACCGCAATGATGCAGTGCAATCTCACCAGGCTGAGTGTTGTACTGCAGAACGGAGGAAGGGGCTTTGCAGCGCTTTCATCATGCTGGAGGGACAGAGCGCACAAGCGTTTCTGTAGCTCGAACACCCGCCAACTGTCCTCTTTATAGCAAGGGGATAAGGTATGGGATAAATTCGTTTGCGGGTGCAAAGTTAAAGAAGAGACGTATGGGTTGCTCGTGCAACTTACCGATCCTGGGGTTCACCGCTGTCCTGTCGAATTGCTTTTTGGTCCTCACTTGAGGTTCTCGAATATGCCTCCTCCTGCCTCCCGGACAGTAGTTCAAGAGCCGTGATTTGGCTTGTTGACGTCAATCGACCTTGAGCTAACTGGTCTTTCTGGTCACCATCTGCAGTTAACGAAATTAAATCGGTTGCTCCACCTTCAGTACCATTGTCGCTATGTTGGATGCGCCTTGTTCGAAGAATGCAATGGAGTCGGAAATAGCACAACGGGAAAGTCAGTTACGCGTCATTGCTTGCTTGTAATCAAGTCAGCGCATGGACCAGATCAATCCAGATTTATCTCAATTATAGGTAAAAACTGGAGCGAGATGGCTGTAGTGGTTAGAGCGCGAATTTACTGACCGGAAGGTCCGTGGTTCGAACCCGACCTCTGCTTCTCGACTTCCCCTGTCTAGACTTGTGCATTCCGGCAGTATCCCAGCCCTTTTGCTTCCCTCGGGTGACATGGCAGCTAGGGGAAGGAAGGGTGTTACAGATGAACGATGAGTGGAAACTCACAGGAACGAATTATTGGAGACATTCAAGCCTGTTGTTCAACTCTGGGGCGAACCGATTACCTTATCCCTGGGTTTTGTTGTTCACGCCCATCACTCAGTGCGAGTGGTGTGATTTTTATCCTTATTTCAGCCTTCATAAATCCATCAGTGTGTTTTTATTTGAAATAAATGATAACCGAATCAATCACTTTCAAGTCCTCGTGCGTGTGGAGATAGGATAGAGCTGCGTATTTGGCATGTGCGCATGTACACGCTGTTCGGGCCAGCAGGTTTCAGAAACGGCTTCAGCTTACTCAAGAGTCCACGACGGTGTCATATTGGGGTCACCGTTGTGTTAGTTCGCCTCAGAATTTCTAACTTCAAGGCGCGTAAACTTTTACAACTTAGCATATCAACGATGAACTGGCAAACACTAGTTCTTTAGAGAATGAGTAACTATGGACTCCGGTGCCACCAAAACACACCCGCTTTTATACTTTTGTGCACGAATCGATGAAGCCTGTTCTACTTATCAGTATGCTTTCTGCTGAAAGGAATTCGTTTCTGTCGGGGAGCGCATATGGGCTTGCGTAGCTGTGGTCGCATATTCCCTAGTTTGAAGTGAATAGCGGAGCATATGGGTGTGCCGCCTTCTGGATGACTGAAAAACTGAACTACAGGCAAGTACACACAAACGGTCCTGAGGAAGCTAGGACACAAGGTTGACGGAAACCCGGAGACTGTGCCTACCTGATGAGCCCCAAGTAGGGCGAAACCGGTCGTGGGCTGTCGATGGATTTTCAGCAACCCTATGAGTAGTACATTACAAATATACAAGCTAGGACACTGTTATCTGACTGGCACTTGAACTCGAGGTGTTGTGGCAAATAGTGTTAGTACAAAAGTCCGAAATTCAGAGAATCGCCTGAAGGGACCTACACTCATCGTTTGACCTTACGATTGGCGCCCTATGTTACTATGGCGTGTTAAACAAATTCTAGGAAGTCGAAGAAGGAATCCCGCCAGGGGCAGGCGACTTCACTCATCTTACTAAGCTCAATAAGTGAAGATCTACTCTATAAAATTTATTTCTTCTAAAAACTACCAGAATCGAAGCCACTTGTGTACATCCAAATTAGATGCCAGTTTTGAAGGTTATCAACAATTTGAAAATAAGAGTGGCGTGTTTACCAAACCTTTTTGAAGAGAAAAGAGTGGCCTTTCCTGGGAATACAATCGCTTACGTGTCTGCTGACACCTGGGACTCGTTAGGTCGATGTGATGGGATTCGATTCTCTGATGCCCTGCTTCTAAATTCACATGGTTAACCCAAACATGTATGTAAACCCAGATGGGCTTTCAGAAAATCAGTGGCGGATAGTGCAGGTGTCAGCTGTGATCGTTCTCGTGTGTCAAACTGCTTATGTGTCCCATCACCAGGTCGGTCAATAATGCAGACGGTGTCGACGCATCAGTGATATCTAACGTGCCTGCCTGGACTACCTGATCTCCTTTGAACGACAAGCCCAGAACGTTTCGTCATAGAAGCTTCCATGTCTTAATCTCAGAATAAATCTCCCTCTAACAGAAGGTGTTACTTGTGACGAGGAGTAAATCAAGAAATGTTTCCTCTGGTCACAACTATAGCACTGGATTGTCCAGGCTGATGTACTCTGTGACACACAGTCAGTCATATTCGCTAGGGGAAGGAGAGGATTGGGATACTGTTTTTTTGTTGGGCAGTGTACCATGTTCCGCCGAGTTCTCTTTATTCGTTCCTGAATTGCTACAGTTCTCATGATTGACTGTTGACAAGATAATACGAAAATTTTATTTACCAGTCGATTCCACAAGTCCTCTAAGGACTGCTGTTCATTATGTTCCCATCCAGCTTTGCGATACTTCCTTTCGGAGAGTTGAACGAAACATAATGCCGGCCGGAATCTTGTGCTTACATACATGAAATTCGTCATTTCGGGGAATTTAACATCGGAACGAAACGGATTGAAGAAAATTTATTTATTTTGTTTGATTGTTCACTTTGTTGGTGTCATGTATGGACCGATGGTTGGGTCGCAGCATACCGTTTTTCCCACCCGTCAGGTTCTTGTATCCTTAAGGGCTAGTAGTTGACGGCGTACTTCCTCGTGCACCAGTCTTGTTTGCTACGTAATCACAGATGTTCGAATGTCCATATCGGAAGCGGACCAACCATGGAAGCAATGGGTGTTACACACAACGTCTAAGAGAGTGCTGTTTTCCGTGTCTAATTTGGAGTGCTACAAACAGACAGTCGGTCAGTCTTTCACCTGGCAGAGGGAGATGAACTGCCATGCCGAACGAAAGTTGCACGAGGGCTGGGCTACTCTCAGGTTTCCCAAACCTAGACACAGGAGTCGAGAGGCAGAGGTCGGGTTCGAACCACGAACCTTGCGGTCAGTAAATTCGCGCTCTAACCAATTGGGCCATCTCGCACACGGATAGGCCGCATCCATCGTCCGACACTCCCGACCGATGATATCAGTGGGAGATGAAGTTAGTTACAAAAACGTTTAGGCTACGTCGCCATGCATGATGGGGTCCACGCGATCCCCCATGTGCATTGATGGAGATTCTGCAAGATATGGCTACTATTCGATGCTACTGGTTTGTCCGCTGTCATTTTCTATCCATATTACCTGAATGAGTGTCTGGAGGAGAAGGCACGTCGGAATGATTGTGACATGCTTTTTTATTTTATTCTTTTCGTCACAATAAATGTTTCAAATAAATGATAGTAAGGCAGTGAAGCATCAGTGCTGAACACGGATGTTATACTATCGATGGTGACGATGAGTTACCATGAAGGTTCTGTGCACAGGTGAAGAACGTAGTAGAACGGGTCATTTGTAAATCTGTGCACAGTCAACGGATTAATGGAGAAACTTTTTAGAAACTAGCCGGACAAATAGAAGAAAGCTGCCAGAATATACTCACCCCATTAGAAAACCATCGAACGCAGCCGCAAAGCTGCACGAACTGTAGAGAGCTTCGTCGTTCTCTTCGAATCCTTGCATTGTTTGGAGGTAGCTGAGTACACTGTTCGGAGGAGTTTCCGTCTCGAACACGAAATTCGTGATACTGGAGCGCTCATTCCCATTCCATTGTTGGGCCCCACTGGACCGATCGATCGCAGCAATCGCTTTGTTGGCTAGGCCTACTATTCGTTGAAGGTGAACCATTTGTGCGGCGCGACGGGCGAGAACAAAGTACCAGCGCGCCAAAGAGTTCTTCGACGGTATTGCGGATAGCACACAACCTAGGTTATAGCACGCTTGAGCCTCTCCCTCGTACATGGATTTTCGTCCTAAAACAAGCGTCGATCGATAAATGGGTGCATATAGGAGGTGGCTAATCAAAAGCGTGGTGAGTTGGATGCCCGATGCGACTTCCTTTTCAAATAAAATCAATAGAATCAGTACAGTTTGTTTGCGTGGACTGTGTAGACTCGGAGATTCAAAATCCAGGTTGCCGTTTCAAATTGAGCGGACGAGTGATTTTCAGGAGAACCTAATCTTACTCTGTTTGGTTGGACATGCTCCATTTGACTATTGTTTGTGGAGTGTGCGATTCTAAATGCGACACGAGTAATTTATTGGGATTTCTAAGGCGCTGAGTATATTAGATCCGTTTGAGAAGGGAATGGCATGGTACACTCCATCACACATTTTTTGCTTCCGATGAGTAGTTAATGCTGCAATTCTGTTCACAATTGTCAAGCGCTATCAGCGCAATTGAGTTCAGATATGCTGATGACGTAGTGGTTGATCGTAGCTATTGTGTGTCTGGAAGAAACTTGCAGTCACAAACTGTACTCACTGCCTGATGTTGGGTGGCTAGGCGAACGCTATTTGACCATCTTTGTCTCTAATTGACAATAAATTGCTCTCTCGATTCCGCTTCACTCACTACGTACCCATTAGTCTGTCGCCTTTGTAAGTGCCCTCTCTCCAAGAATTGTACTATGAAATACCGGAGCTACTCGGTCGTTTATCCATCGCGCACATACAAGTGATCTTTGGTAGCGTACAGAGTTTGTTGAAACTGTGAATGCCTCCCGTTTTCCTCAATGTCGTGCATTGGTCTGTTAGCGCTGGCGTTCCTCCAACTAGTTTTATGGTTGCATTATCCTGTCCCAGAAGCCCTTGAGAAATATCGTTCCGTTGTTATCAGGTTGCTAAAACACCTTTTGGGGGTACGGTAGAATCTCATGTAATGTCCCCGATTGACTTGGCAAACATTTTAACGCTAGTCGCTGTATCAACCAACAGCTTTCCGACGTTTTTATCTGTCAATAACTGCAGCCGACTCTGCTTGATATCACTCTAACAAATACCAACATTTGTCCGCAAGAAAGTCCAGACACCATAGTTCAGTGGTACCTTATTTGATCAGTTTCCTCACTCAAAGTTCTGACCCACGGGGCAGTGGGAGCATTGCCCAAATCTTGTAGGAACACTGGATCAGCAATGCTGAAGCACATCGAATGGTATTCGGGAGAAATAACTCACCCTCGATAGATGAACTGATCACACTGCATAGGCTGCGCTGGTTTGGCCACGTGCTGCGTATGCCAGTCGACCGACTTCCTCGAAAGGCTCTTTTCGCACAACCATGTGAAGGGTGGAAGAAAGCCAGAGGCGGTCAAACAATGATTTGGCAGCGAAGTATGAAAGCCATTACCAGCAAACTTAGCTGCGCTGGTCACTGCCGTCTTCCTGGATGGGGACCCTGAGACAGTTGGAGACATTGTCAGACATGGTCCAGTCGCGCCTTCAATGGTGCTCGTGCATCCAAGCTATTGCCTAATTCATAACTCCTTTTCCAACCCCCCTACCCCACTTGACAGCCCACTGACAGTGCTGGATTTGTGCACCAATTTATCAGCTCCCGCCTGAAATGCGCAGCTACCTACATCCCCGCCTCCCGAAATCATCGGTGGACGAAACTGCGGCAGCTATAACCACTGTACGACGAGTACGCGGTTATTTCACCTGACGATGATGATGATGATTAGTTTTGTAGTTAATCCCACTAACCTGTGTATCAGCCTCACTTCTCTACTTGTGTAAGGTATGTGTTGATGAGGAGTTTTGCGTTGGTCGAATGATTTTCTCACTAATTGCGTGATAACATTGTAATTCTACATGCTGAAAAGTTGACCTAAGAGAATGAAGCTATAATTTACTAGACACGAGGTGATTTCATTTCAACTGCCTTCCTTCCGAATCGGAGAGTCATATTCAATTCGGGCTGATAAGCTTTGCTGTGTGAGTCTGGACATCGGACATTTGTCGTGAAAGGTGAGCGTGCACCTACTGCTCAACCAGTGTCTGCCAGATAAAACTTGGTTCACTCCATGTAAAACGCTTCTGGCTTAAATGTTTTATTTGAAGCGCGGTCCTTCAAACGACGGCACGCTAAGTGACTTCAGTTTGTTGGTCGAATGAACTTACTGCCAGTCAGGAGTGCCAAGGAATCCGCTGGATATTTCCTAAATTAGTGACAACTCTATCATCTCCTTCAGCTTACAGGTATTCGCTTTCGAGTTTTTCAGCTCAACGTTTTGTTGCTCCAGACTCGAGCGTGAAACGCGCAACTCAAATTCTTGCCCTACGGAGATACACCCTAACATCTAAACAGTCCATGCTGATACATTTCGCAGCTGCTGTGAACGGATTGCATGGTTTTGAACTTCCATGTGGTAGCCACTGTAGTTTTCTCCGGACTTTTGAAATTAATTGATATCTTTGTTTTAGTACGTACACTTATTCATCCATCGAGCTAGAAGTTAGACAGGAAACCAAATGGTGTTCATTCGTAATGACTTTTATGGAGTGCCACTTACTATCAGTTTGGGTCGAAAAGCAGTCACACAGCGAATAAGACCATTGTATTTCGTCGGCATCTACCCTCCCTATCTAATATCTCACAGCACTGCGTGCCTTCTCTTCAGCCTTTCAAAAGATTTCTGGCTACTGATCGTTATATGCTTCAGTTTTAGGCCAAAACGTGGACGACCTTCCATGAGGTTATCTGAAGTAATGTGTTCCCAGCTGCATTAAACTAATTGGTAGAAAAAGAAAATAGCGTCCAGTGATGTGGAACGGAGTCTTTGACATTGCTGCGGACTGTTAGAGCAGAGGGATTACATAGGGTTGCAAATCGGATCAGTTGGGTTATTCGTTGGCGCAGCGCAGACATTCCTTGTCCCAAGGAAGATCAATACGAGATAACTGAAGATTTAGTTGAAGGTGCCTATGAGATTTGTACAAGTCGCATTTACAGGATTGTTGCTTAGAAAGTCCTCCGGCTTCCCTGATACTATTATTTTGGTGAGTCCTCACCATCCTGGGGGAACGGCGGGTCTCCAGTCTCGATCCTATTAGAGCTTATCATCAGTGCATATCCCTTGCTGTGCGGGAGTTTGCACTACTCCAACAGCTCACGCTAGACGCACCTGAATTATCAAGTCTGAATGGGCTCGAACTATGCGATCGATTGTCCGCATCACGTACAACATTTGGCGACATTAGCTTTTGGGATACCAAATGTGTCCACTCCGGAGTTCTCCATTATTTGAGACTACAAACTTCGGTGTTCCTACGCCCAGTTAAGTAACCGATAACAATGATGATAAGCTGATACGCTTTCTCCTATCTCTGTGATAAATCTCTTTCAAATACATTTAAAGTTCTCACCCTCCTGGGGGAACGAGGGGTCTCCAGTCTCGATCCTATTAGAGCTCATCATCAGTGCATATCCCTTGCTGTGCGGGAGTTTGCACTACTCCAACAGCTCACGCTAGACGCACCTGAATTATCAAGTCTGAATGGGCTCGAACTATGCGATCGATTGTCCGCATCACGTACAACATTTGGCGACATTAGCTTTTGGGATACCAAATGTGTCCACTCCGGAGTTCTCCATTATTTGAGACTACAAACTTCGGTGTTCCTACGCCCAGTTAAGTAACCGATAACAATGATCAGCTGATACGCTTTCTCCTATCTCTGTGATAAATCTCTTTCAAATACATTTAAGTTATCCGAATCGTTGAAATTCGGCTTCCCGTTATTGATTTACCTTCATATTGGCCGCAAGCTGACACGAATAATTATTCCCGGTGTATGGGATTTTCCTAGATCCGTTATTTTTATTTTTTCTCTTATCCGTTATTGTTGCATCCGGCCGCTTTGTGCCAACGATGTGACTAGATGTTCATCGTGCCAGCTTCTAGTGATTGTTATTTGTAAGAGAGCTTTACCTTTCCAGTCCATCAGAATCGCCATTTACAAAAAATTGACAGTCAACTGTTTCATTTAAATCCGCTAGCTAAAACTCCATTCGCTAAAGATTTCCAGTCATCCCTGTGAGACAAGACAGGTTCAGCATTATTTGATTGGTTGAGATCTATTACGAAGGGAGTTTTGTGACCGGTGTCACGCAGTCCGGTTGTTTTGATGTGGAATTTCAGTGCCCGCTAGATGTAGATACTGGTGTGACTGTGGATACTACTGATAGGGCATATGAGTAGTATGTTTCTCGTAAATTCGCTCCGCGTCTCTCGGAAAGTGAGATCTATCACGGACTTTGTGGAGTCGCAGTTGCTTGCACTTGAGCGACAGTCGAGAAAATCCAGGAACGTTCAGGAAGATGCGTTCAAGGAGAAGATGGATATTCGGTTTCTGTAAACGGGATGCATATGGGACTTTTGCTTCCCTGTCCAATAGTCTGTAACTGTTCATTTGGCGTTTTCTAATAAATAATTCCACAGTGAGGCCCTTTTCCCTTTCACTGGTAACAGAACTACAAGCGAAAAATCAGATAACCGCCTAATTATTTCGTGAAACGTAAGAAGCGTTTCTCGAACGTCCGCATTGCTAATCAGCACCATCCAGGATGAGACAGCTGTTCACTACTTCACTGTCTGTGACCAGGTACAGCCTTTTCACAACCACAATTAATATGCTTGAACCAAACGATCTACCACACAAGCGGAATCCGATCAGATGGGATTAAAACAACTTACTGTACAGCTTTAGTGCTGTAATGAGCGCTTCTACGGCTAGTTCACGCCTTCCCATTGCCGAATACGCCGTCCCCAAATTTTGCCACAAGGATGCTCTTGTGTTAGGTGAATAGTGAACTATGCAATTCAAAGCGGTTTGAAAAGCGTTCAGAGCCTTCAAGTAATCTCCGGTCCTCATGTAAACCAAACCGATTCCATTGAGAAGGGCACCTAGGGAAGGGAAACACAAAAACCTCATTTGTTGTCACTTCACAGTTTTACTGAAACGCCTGTAGGTTTTCTGCAAAATGAAATCATTTCAACAGTATGTAATGATCCAAGAAAGGGAATAAATTGTTCAACGAGTACACGCCGCATCTAAAATGCCGTTAGTACAGTAAAGAACGGGTGGCGACATATCCTGTCTAATTGCGGGTTAATCATGGTGATTTTCAGCCTGTTGCGTCCGAAAGGAGGAAACTTCTGTACTGTGCTTTTCACCATTGATTAGCTTCGCTTGCAAGGCAAAAGTCCGATCGGAATGGCGCGAACCAAGAAAGCTAAGACGTTTCCAAACTGTACCGACACACTGGACAAAATCTGCTATGCGGCTGTTCAGGGAAGGAACATAGCTCTACGCTGTGAAATGCTGTCCTTGTGTTTTTTCACTAGTTAGATTAGGCGGCGGATTTTCAGCTAGCTTATGAGTAGAACATTACAAAGATATACGTGTATCGCGAATATCTCGAATATCGTAGCGACTGAAACATGAGGCGGCATGGTGCAGCACATTCAGTTGCCTGAGAACATCATAAACGAGAGATTCAGCTGGGTTCCAGGTGAGTCTCTCGGAAAACCAAATTAGTTTGCAAATGAGTGTATATTCGCTAAGATTAGAACAGCATTACGCACGCTTTGACTTTGTCTTATGTATTTTTATCTCAGTCTAACTTGTTGCAGTGATGTATTAGATTCCAGAGTGGGCACTAACCGCAGCCAAATTCTCGAATTTCATTTATCTTCCTGGGAATTGACGACAAACAAGTTTAAAACACCATCATAGTGTTCCGTTTGTGTTCCCCGCAATGCATTTCCAGTTATAGAGTGTCGATTAATGAAGCACTTCCAGACCGGCAGTTCAACAACGTGTTTTGTTGAGGTTGTATTGAATGCCGCACATGTTTTCAGCTACGGGGTTAGTTAACTCGCGGAGGTCCTCATCCTAGTGCACAATGTTGGATAGTTAAGCCTCTCCAGAGCGGCCACCTGGTTGATCCGGTCGGAACGGTCACGGACACTCGTCCGTCTAGGTTATCAATCCGGACGAGCTATAGGTCGATGGATGTTCGGAGCACGCTATGCAACTGGTCTTTATCTAAACGGCGTCTGAACTGGAGATCTTCGGCCTTGAATGGATTTTAGACTCCTAATTCATTGTTTTTTGTTGAGTCAGACGGTCCTAGTTGAAGGCATCTGGTGGGAAATCCCAAGTCAATCGTCCTCATCGGTCCAAACATTCTGGATGCGTCCTGTCCACACGAGAAGATGCACTTAGTCTCGTAATTTCACTCAGTGCCACGAAATTCTGGCTACCACTTGGCGCTACTACAGACAGTCAGATTACTTTTTAGACACAACACGCTTCTGCTCCAAATTCCATATAAATTTATAGTTCATCGAGCTATTCCACTTTTTGGTCCTTCCAGAGAGGAAATTAAAAGAGATTTCGTCAAACCAGCCATTTTCTGCAACCCATCCGACAAACAAGGTTTGTCCAAGAATTAAAAAAACCCTACATGCCGATTCCCGTTAAAAATTCAAGACTTAACGACAGTTCTTAAGCTGTGTCCTTGATCCGCTATTCACGGTCTGCATCTGTCTTGAAACTCTGGAGACTTGGGATTTGACATCACACTAATTATCTCCGCACAACCTGGTTTAGCTTACTGAATCCCAGGAAGTTTATACTTTGTCCTTTTAGATGCCTTCATCAAAAATGGCATCAAAAATTCTTCTAACCACGTCGTTAAGGCTGTTTTATGGAACCATCTCATCCAAAGAAGAGTTTGGCTAAAATTTGTCCGCATTCTGTACACGTTCGATGTGAATACGTCTGCGCAAGTACAGCAATACGGCGTTTAGCCGTTTCAAGCGGACCTGAAACGTTTGTCTAATATTTACGTTCAGATTTGTTTGTTTTTCTTCTATCGAGTACACCCTCAACAAACTGTCTGATAATTTCACACATGGCAGTGTCTATAAAGTGGCTGAAAATTTGGAGTGAATGTAGGCTGGAGGTTGTGCATTAGTGAAGCAATTCCCAACAGCGGCAATAAAATCTCCGTTTCACTTCTTCGAACCGACTGGTTGGCTGTGGGCGGAAGTTCTTCGGCCTTCAGTACACCGAAAGAAATTAACGCTTGCGAGAAATACACTCATTTGTAGATGGATTCGGTTTTCACGAGAGACTCAACTGAATCTCTCGTTTATGATATCCTGCAATGGGAATGTGTTGCACACAGACCGCCTCATGTTTCAATTGGCACGATATTCGAGATATCTCAGGATATTTTCATGAAGGAAACTACTCACAAGGTTGCTGAAGACCCTTAGACAGTCCACGACCGGTTTCGCTCTTCTTGGGGCTCATCAGGTAGGCGCAGTCCCCGAGTTTCCGTCAACCTCATGATCTACTTGAACCCAAATTGCACTGTTTNCTACCTGATGAGCCCCAAGAAGGGGGAAAACGGTCGTGGGCTGTCAAAGAATTTTCAGAAAACTTGCGAGTAATTTCCCCTATGAAATTAACGTTTGTTCAGATGTTTCCGCTAACAGACTGGAGGTTCATACATCATTCAACAACACTCAGGATTAGTAAAGCTCCACCAGGTCACACGTCAGCTTATCTAAACGCCTCAGTTTCCCAGGGCACGTGATGCAGCCTTGGAAGGGCAGCAATAGAGGACCAAATGAACGAAGTCAGCGTGAAGACCCTACGCACAAAATAGAATACATTAATAAGTGATCAAAACTGCGACCAACTTCCCTGATGATTGCACTTGCACCGCCTAACGGTTTGAACGAGTTCTGACTAATTCTGGCACCAGCATGAATGGAAGAACCATCAAACGGACCGGATAAATTAGTTAATATGATTTTGTTTGGTCATCGTCAAAACTCTGCGTTTCCTTGATCTGTTAAAACTTAGAGAATCCAACTCCATCACTGACATCGGTTCATATAGTTTTAGCTAGTGAGAAAGGGATGGCAATAAGCCATTTTTTCATGCCGGTGCGCATGCTGACGAGGACTTTTGAAGAACGATATAACAGATTCTACTCTGCTGAGGGTAGTGCTGTTAATTGCAGACTGTAGTTCATTTCTGATTAAACTGATGCGTGGAGAAAACTGTGTATGGTGTTTTGACTGCTTTGACGTGCTATATTCTTGTTTAAGGATGAAATTTTATTGCCTTACCAGCTGCAACATCATCACTGTTTGAAGGATTGAAAGTTCGACTTTAAGGACTTCGGTCGTTTAAATGAAAGTCCCATAATGGTCTTATTAATAAAGGGAAGAATTTGAGTAGAAGTGACCTAGATTTCCCCCCAGGCTGCTGCCGTAAGCTTAACCATCAAAATCAACCTTCTAAGCAGATTTTCATTTTTTATCCACTAGAAAGTTTTATAACGATTATCTGACTCACAATGGAGAAAGCTATCGATAAGTTCGAGAGAGTTATGTGGGTATCGTGAGGAGATTGTGGAACTAAAATTGGGGTTCCACTTTGTGAGCAAAGCCAATCTATGGTGAAAAGCCCAGAAGCATTGTAGAACTATTTCATCCTCATTGGAAATCAGCAGCAGCGCGCATCCCAAGAATCTCTGGAGAGACCTCTGTCAAAGTAAAACTTGGAAAACTTTGTCATGGTTTTCAGTGCATGTTTCTGGAAGACTAGCTTGGAATTTCGGTATGAACCGGATGGATATCACGTGATGTTCACGGACGCAATGAGCGATCAAGACTAAAGCCTTATGGCCCCAATACAGAAGGATAGAGGCATCCGTTAGAGTGTTCTGTGTGTATATCCACCAAAAGGATTGCATTCCAGAATGGCCTACAAAGCTATTGGGGTGAAATAGTCTTAATAAGCCGGCAATGCTCATTGATATTCCTCTCGATAGAACACTACTTTGAAGTAGTCCCATGGTTTTGCCACAAATATTTTTTCACTGTGTGATTTATATTGTCAGTTTATCAGAATGATGCTGTTGCAAACTGTTGATCAGTTTTGCGAGGAAAGTTTTCGCTTGAACGGAGGTTATTCACCATAACTGTACTTTCGATGAAAGAGTAAGGGTTCTACTACGGGTTTCCACATCATGTGAAACTCCAAAAATCGCTCCGTGGGAGCATGAAATCATAATAAAACACCGGGAAATATCAAAAATTGATGTCTGATGCTAAATCATCGACACGCTATATTCGCTAAAGAATAAACGCTCATAAGAATCAAAATCGACTTTCTAGTTATATCGTTTCGGTTAAAATGGAACCCAAGCTTTACAAGAGGGGGAAGAGACATTTCCAACAATGACACGGGCCGCCCAACGGTGGTCGTGCGTTTTGTTAGAACAGATGGTGCCTTACCCATTGCAGTTAAATTTTTCTTAAGTTATATAGTACACCCGGTTAACGGAGTGACGAGAAAGTTCATCGAAAATCTGTGGTAGTAGAGCAGTTCGTCTGTAGTAACTCACAGAAAAGAGAACACCGAACGAATGGTTCTGAAATTTCCACGGTACATTGAAAATCTTAGTGAAATTATCGGCGTTTAGGAACTTTACACCGAATATTTCATTCATATATGCCTTTCGGCATGTGCAAGCGCTGTGTTTCGCGACCGAATTACTCACCTGCGCATTCACTGGTGTACCACCTAAAATTTTTATTTTCGATTACTGCTGTTTGTCGACTTCTCTGAAGGCACAGCCAAAAACATGTGGTTTTTCGTCGCTTCAAGAGGGTGCAGTCTGCTCTTCCTTTCCTGGTGGTTTGCTCTTCAAATACTTTGTTTGAAGTTCACTTCGTGCAAGTACTTTTATAAATTTACTTCGGGTACACAAAGAGTCAAAAAATATCACTTTCCAAATGCCATGGCATTTCGTGAATAAACTTAACAGTATTGGCTTACTCTTAAGTGACAGAGAATCTACTCTGAAAACTTAATTTTAGCACCGAAGTCGAATGCGGGTTCCAGTCCTACCCTAAAGACTCTCTATTAGTGCTTCCATTCTATGTATTTATCTGATTCAGCTGCATTGCAGATACTATGGAATTTGTTATATAGGAAGATGGTCACTGGCTTCACTGTTACAGCACCACGTAGAGTAAACATAGCAGAACTATGGCACAAATCATAGCTAAATCAATACACATTACCTTTATACTGGCCACTTTCTTGAGATTCAGCAGTCCGATGCAGGTCTGCAAGAATCTCATTTAGGTTTGTGTCACCATGAAGACAGCATGCATGATGAAGTACCCGTCTTGCGCAAACAAAACTCAGCTTTTGTTCGTCGTAGGCTCTGGCCAACCGCATGGCATGCACCCAAGATTCCAGTACAGAGACATTTGACTGTCCACAGAATTCTTTTAACCACGCGATTCTTACAGCAGTGCTAACTTTTGCACTTTTGTGCGCATCCGTGTCCTCGTTAGTTTTGGCTTTCAGAAGGAAAAGACAACTTTCAAGGCTTTGAATCGCGTTTTCCCACTGTCTTCTTTCTTCGTACTGGCCGGCTTTTTGGAGCAGCAGATCGATTTCTTGAAAATACTGCTGATCGCCAGATTGGGCGTCACCAAGCTTTGGACAGGGTTCAATCGTCCTTATGGGTTTCTGTGGGATTGTCAAGTCGCAGTTGTTTGAAACATCAGCCTTATCAGGTGGAGTTGTGTTGTACTGCGTGTTCGTGTCTTCCGTCCGATCGCCAGATGATAGTGCCTCTTTAGGCAGTTTTCTGGGGCAGATCATCCCACAGCCCTGTAAAAAACACGTAAATCGTATGCCCATCAGAGGAGATTTTTAGATTTGCTACCTATGCACACTCTGGAGTCAAATGAGTTCGTGGCATTGGACTTACCAAGTTGAAACAGAAGTGCGGTTGGCACAGTGTGCACCAATTATCAAATTAGCGCCGAGCAGCTGATGGTGGAGGTACAAAGGTGGGGGCAATAATTCTGAGCCACCGGTGAGAAAACCATGCCGGATGGTCTGAAAACATTTGCTGCTTGGCTTGTGGGTACCACAATGGGAATGAAATAAAGCTGCCAATGATGATGATGATGATGGGGACGTGGAAGTGATAATGGCATTGGCTTGGCTTGTGGGTACCACAATGGGAATGAAATAAAGCTGCCAATGATGATGATGATGATGGGGACGTGGAAGTAGATAATGGCATTGGAGATAATGTCAATTCGGAGTCTACCAAGTCAATTTCACTACGAATATCCTGACTCGAAGGCATGGTGACATTATGTCCTCCGACGCCGAGGAATTAGCCCATTCTTGTTGATTTGAACAAACATCAATGCGTTTTTATAAATGGACTTTTTCTCTACCACGTTACGGACACCTCAGCCTAAGTAAACCAGTTTGAAGCCATCCTGACAAATCATTTACTGCCGAAAATAGGAAAACATGGGGTTTCAACGCATGAAAACACCAAAGACTCCAGCTGTCTGCTCAGAGTTTGAAACAGCATACGGACGGCATTATCATGCTCACGGTTTTGAAACCATCTGTCGGGAATCCATCGCACTCCCCCTGAATAATGGATCTTGCCACCAAGCGCAGCTCTGGTTGAAGCCAGAAAACCTAATCAGGGTGCATGCAGCTTAGTAAAACGCCGAATAATAAAGGGTCCAAGGTTTGTTAGGTAGCGCTGGTATTTGGCGAAAGCCGGAAAAATGGAGAAGCATTTTGCAATGAGGAGTAATCACCCCTCGTTCTGGATAGTCCCATCGGCTGGCCTGAAGAAGATGGGCGTTAATGAATGGAACGGAACATAAACCCATTCACAGAAACACCGTCTTAAGCAATGGGCTGGACGATTTGTAGGTTCCCATCATCTCACCATCTTGAGGGACACAATGAACTTGAGTGGGACGTAGACACCAGTCCGCCATCGTTGACAGAAGTCCAGCGAGCAATTTCATTGCTTTGGCGCAAAAAATCGCCTGGATCACACAGTTCGCGCTCTGTGCCCTTCAAAAAATTGGCGAGTCTCTAACGATCTTGCTCCAATCTATAACGAGGAAAGATTCCTGACAGCTTCAAGCACCCGACGTTGATTCCCGTACTCAATAATGGTGCAATGACATTTTGCAAAAACCACCGGGGCATCATCGTGGTGGATATAGCTCCCAAGTTGGTCGCTGGCATTTTTGTGAGGGTTGATCCGTCATCAAAGGAGTTAGATTCGTGACGATCAAGCTGGGTTTCGTCCAAGCCTGTATTGATCAGATATTTACCTTGCAGATCTCCAAACAACGGTCGAGGTTCTTGATCCTAAATTTGCTTTCGACTCTGTCGGTAGTCAGAAACTGTGATAATGTCTGTTGATGAAGAGTGTCCCCTATAAATTCTTGTCTCCTGTCTTGTGCATCCTCCCATTGGTTTGCAAGTGTGTTCTGAAGATCATCCCTTGATCATCATCGCAAAGTCCACTGGCGTTGGGCAAGTATGTCCTCTATCGCCGTTCCCGTTGTGATGTCTCAGGCTTCTTTGGTTGCTTCTACAGCCCGAAGATTAACATATTACTGGAACATTTGCTCACACACAATCTGCCCACGATATTGGATCAGACCCTTTACAAGAGCAGTCTATTTTTAGCAACCTAACTAAGTATCCTATGCAGTCCGCCACTTGCCCTTGTAAAGTTTAAAGTTTTGTTTCAAAATAGGCTGGGATCAAACCAATACCTCATGCTCGCATGTGAACCAATCGATGGAGTAGATGATTTCATTTACCTGGGCAGCTACATAAGTCCTTTGGGTCTAACGAAAGATGAAATCACTCTTCAAAATTAGAGGAACAGAGCAGCATTTTCTAACCTCTGACATTTGTGGCTCCAACAGGTTATCAGCTTTGTAGTTAACGACAGAATGAACCATGCAGCGGTCTAAACATTGAACCATGGTCTCCGCACGTGGAAGCCCTTCGAATGCTTTTTGTGTGTGACAATCGGCGCCTCCGAAGCACTGCGCGAGTCTGATGGGAATAACAGATTAGCAATGCTGATGTTTTTCGTTAAAGTCCACTCTACATCAAAAGAATGGCAGTCACAGTTCACAGACTGCACTGGTTAGGCTGAATAATTCACATGTCAAAAGAACATTTGATTGATAAGAACCTCTTCGCCACTCCTCAGGTCGGATGGAAACAACCAGAGGGTGGTCAGTACGTGGCCAGGCAACAAAGTATGGAATATGTTTCCAGTCAATTCAGTAACGTTGGTACTTGTCGTCTTCCAAGAGGGTAACCAAGGGAAGAAATGAACCACCGGTTAATGAGGCAAGCGGATGTGCATGATATCCACTGATGGTCTTGAAACGGAGCTATTGCCTTCGCTAAGTAGTATCGCGTAATCTAGTTTAGCAGCCTGGCCTGGTGGATACCAAAGTGAACACCGCAGATCCAATGTCACGCTCCTTAATACTCGCTTAGCAGTGACAAAGCCTAATGATAACATTGCATCAACAGTGGAAGAGAGGAACGTCTTTCAGCAGTTTGAGTCTTTTGAACCCAGCTGTTTGCATTTTTTGCGTTGTTTGGTGGTGATGAAATTATTTTGTACTAACTTTGTAGTCTTTCAGCAGTTTGAGTCTTTTGAACCCAGCTGTTTGCATTTTTTGCGTTGTTTGGTGGTGATGAAATTATTTTGTACGTAACTTTGTAATGCACTGTTTTTTTTGCATTTTTGTACATTAGTGAGCTGATCTTCCGTTTGGATAATATCCGTGCCGATCATTTCTGCCTTAGTGTGCTTAGTTTCTGTTGTCAAGGGCACCTTCTAATTGATCTCGCATTGGTGTATCGTGCCCTTACTCCTTAAATGGCACAATGCATTCCCAACATCTTTGAAAATCCGCAGGTTGCCTTCAGAAAGCATCCATTTAGGCTGCAGTGCTGTAGCTATAGTGTCCAGGCAATAGCACAACAATGAGTTTATATATTGTCCAAAAACTGCTTGGTATGAGCCAACACTGGCAAACGGACATTCAGACAAAACACTTGATTTCATTTGCTTGAAAGTAGCAATACATGAAAAGGTGTTTGCTTCTACAATAACCCGTTTTGCGCACTAGTGTCATTTTTCTGTTGGCTACAGTGATCTATTTTAAATTTATTGGACCAAGCTAACGCGTCAAACGGTACCATGCTGGCAAGCACACTGATAAAGACCATCAAAAGCTCATCTTACACCTATGGCTCAATCCCTGCTTGTGTTTGAACTTATTCCCAAAAGGTACCCAAATAATTGTTGTGGCAGAAAGAAACGACAAAAAACGTAAGACAGCTGTAATTTCACAAGCACAGTTTAATCGAAGAATTTCCAACAAGCAGTATAGAGAAAAGCCCAATTCCAAATAAGACTCACAGGGATTCTCAGTGGTTACAAGAATTTATACATCACAGCCAGATTCGGGGGAACCTTCCTTGTCAGTATGATATTCACTCTCTTATAGCAATTTTCAGACTTTCGTAACTCAGCAATTATCAGCACATTATCTCACTTCCTATCAGCTGCAGTTGTCAACGTATTCGCATCTTGAAAGAAGTATGTGAGTGAGCTAATTAAACTAAAAGTCGTTTAACCTTTGTCCGTCGTCTGTCGCGTGTCTGTGAAAGTGGATCACCACAGAGTGCTGCTGAAATAACTATCCGTAAGTTTGTCCTTCGTCGACTAACGCATAATCTCGCGAGGCGATCACCGGCATCATCGTGATAGACGACCATTATTGTTGGCCCCGATTTTTTTTACTTCCATACAACTAAATTCGTTCAGTATACTCCAAACCTTGAAGTGAGAAAAGATATGGATGATAAAAACACCAGGACCAGAATATCGCAGGCATTCTTCGTTGAGTACACTAACACTTAGTCAGAAATTCTGGAAGGAGACCGACAGCACAAATGCCATCGACATCGGTGGGCTTCCATTTCTTGAAATCTCTACAACTGTGTAGAGGGTGGTATCATGTGGGCACCATCCTGGAAGGCAGACTGCACTAAATAACCTAAATTTGGTAAAATATTGCACACCTTTCTACAGAATCACACAATTCCTACGTCAAACTTTACGCCATTCTGAACTCAATGAGAAGAACAATGTTTTGGTGGACGATGACTCGGCATGCGTATCAAATAGTTGAGCAACCGCAGTTAATTTTGCTGAGTGTGTTCTGCGACTGAAGTACATTGCGGATTTGTTGACTTTCACTCAACACCACCAGTGCTTTTGAGGCATTGTAGAACACACCCTGAAGAAACCTCAGATTAACTATCCCCAGGGGTCGTGCCCCGAACTTACTCTAGCCTGGTTGAAGTGATCAATGAGCCCCATTGACGCCATAGGTGACGCAGATAATCAAAATTGAGTCTGGCATTATAGATTCTTGCAGTGATTTCATCAGACACACTTCCATCTCAGCTGACACAACTACCGAGATACGCAAAATTCTACACAACCTCCAGTGACTCTACAAAAATATAATGTGGTACGTTCAAGTACTGTAAGTTCTGAAACGTGGATTCGCACATGGAATTTGCAAAAAACATGCAGCAGTAAGGATTTCTGGTTGTGCTTCGCCTTGATCTTCAAAGAATATGACGCCGCCACCTACATACTCCATATCAACATTGTTCTCATGTACAAAGAGTTAGACACCGGGTCTTTGAATACTTTCAACTTTTGCGCCATTGTTTCATCAATACCTTGGTTGAACATAAATAAATAGATTACACATCCTTGCTGGATATCATTTTTGCATGCAGTCTTTGTTCAC